CTGAGAGATACACTTCTCCTCCTTCTCCTTCTCCTCCTCCTTCTCCGTCTCCTCCTCCTCGTCCTCCTCATCCTCCTCTACCTCCTCCTTCCCCTCCTTCTCTTCGTCCTCCTCCTCCTCCTCCTCGTCCTCCTCCTTCTCCTCTTCTTCCTCGTCCTCCTCGCCTCCCGAGGCCTGTGGCTCTGTCCGTAGCTTGGTTTGGGCTTTTCTTTCTGAAAACAAATCTCTTTGGTCTTTTGTACTCTTGGTGCCGGTGTTTGGTGGAGACCCGCCCACCCCCGCGTCGCCTCGGTGTGGCGCGTGATGGTGGGGGCTCGGAACTTTGCGCCGTGTGTGCTCTCGCAGGCCCTCGGCTCTTTCTAGCCAGGTTCCCCCTCCCCCAGCCCAGGTTCCCAGTCATTCCGTGTTTTCATCCTTTTTTTTTTCTTGCCAAAGGGACTGACTGCCCTTCTGTGTCAGAAATCGTGCTCCATTCCGTTATTGTCTCGACTGCGGTGAGAGCTCCGCGAAGAAACGTGGAGTTACATGCGCGATTTTCTAACAGTTTGCTGTGCCGTGTTTTCTTAATGGGATGGAAAAAATTAACTCATTTGAGGTTTTCCTTAGGAAACCTACTCTAAAAATGGAAGGAGTGCACTTCTCTCAAGTTTTAATGCTTTTTTAAATAGAAATGTGAGAACAGTGTCAAGTGAACCAGTTTCTACAAGCACGGGAGACCTTAGGAATTCTCTTTGTTTGAAAGAATTTTTTTTAAATCGGTAAAAATAAATTTATCGCTATTTGTTTTCTGTTTAGGATTATGAATTTTAATACCTTGGTGCCATTGAACAAATTTAAATCCTAGAAGTTGAATTTTAAGGCGTCCTTTAGGGGTTACAGTGCGAACTCAAACTGTCGTCTTAAGCAAAAACTTCAGTAAGTCTGCAGACACTGGTTTACTATAAAATTAGGTTAAATCTGTGCACTTTCTGCGCTTTACGTATCAGTACAAATTCCAATATAATTATGCCTTGCATTTGTTCATTATATTGTTTTCACCCCCCTTTTGAGGTAGCCAGTAGGGTGTTGATAGAACTGTTTTAAAAGTGAAACAGCTTCCTGGAGAGGACTACCAACTCAAGTGATTGGGTTGGGGTTTGGGGTTTTGTTTTGGGTTTTTGGTGGGGTTATTTTGTGGTGCTAGAACCCTACACCCCCTTCCCCTCCTTCGAGAGAGTCTTGCTCAGTAACCCAGGCTAAATTTAGACTTGGGTCCTCCTGCTTCAGCTTCCAAAGTGCTGGGATTGGGTTGGGGATATAGCTCAGAGGCACAGCATCTGCCTGGCAAGCTCGAGATCCTGAATACCAAAAGGAAAAAAAAATGCTGGGATTACAATTGGCACCACCCCATACCCAGTGTATACCCTGATTTTTTTTAAATTTTATTTATTTGTGTGTGTGTGTGTGTGTGGCCAGCTCAGCCCACCAGGGGGCGGGGCTGACTGGCATGTGGTGCTGGGGGATTGAACCGCGGTCCCTGTGCTTTGTTAAGCTTGTTCTAAGTAGGTGCTTTAGACCACTGAGCCGTCTCACCAGCCCTATACCCTGATTTTTATGAGAGTGTTGTGAAGCAAGTAGATTGACCTAAAATTTTTAAAGAGATACTCATTTCTCTTTATATTTTTGACATATTTTCAACTTTTTAATATTTAAATATTTTATAAGCACATTGAGAAGTTGAAAATCTGTTGAAAAAATGCTGATTTTGAAGTTGAAATCTCAGTTTTCCCTGTCCAACTTATTTTTTTTTTTTTGGCAGAACCAGGGATTGAACTCAGATCCTTGCGTTTGCCAGTCAAGCGCTTATCCTTTTTTTTTTTTTTAATTTTACTTATTTATTTGTTTATTTGTGCGTGTGTGTGTGTGTGGCCAGCTCCGCCCACCAGGGGGCGGGGCTGGCTGGCATGTGGTGCTGGGGGATTGAACCGCGGTCCCTGTGCTTTGCTAAGCTTGTTCTAAGTAGGTGCTTTAGACCACTGAGCCATCTCACCAGCCCCTCAAGCGCTTATCCTACTGAGCCATCTCCCCAGCCCCCTGTCCAACTTATTTTGTCCAGTTTGATTTTCTGGTCCAGTCCGACTTTTTCAAGTCCAGCATTTTACTACTCAGTATTTTTTAGTAGGGAAGAGGAAGAGCAAAGGGAAAGAGATACACTATATAGTTCCATGTCCTTCTCTCCCACTTGTTTCCTTTTTCCAGAGAACGTTTAGAATGAAGCACGTTTTTTTTCTTTTTTTCCCCAGTGCTAAGAATGAAAAAGGGCCAGGCACATGCTAGGCAAGTGCTCTTATCACTGAGCTACATTCCAGCCCACTGAGAAATTTTTTTGCTATTACTGTAATTGGGCAGGGGAAGACCTAAATGGAATAGGAATTTTGGTAAATAAAAAATAATCTAACATATGTAACAAAATCCTATGAAGACAACAATATGCAACGTATTAATTATTGTAACTGTCCTACTAACCTGTTTTGAACTGCCTCATTGCTATTTGTTTCTCAATAAAATTAATAAAAAAACAGTCATAATCTAACACTTGGGAAAAAAATAATCTATAGTCCTTCTGTTCCTCCATTGAATCCATGTCCTTTCTCCTGAGCTGCATCCTTTTTTTCTTCAGGGGGAGTGATTCTGGAGATCAAACCCAAAACCCTTCTACTGAACTTACAACCGCAGTCTCCTTTTTTGTATATTGAGACAGGGTCTCACTGTGTAGCTTAGGGACCTTGAATCATGGCAGCCCTCCAGCCTCAGCCTCCCAAGTGCTGGGATTACAGCTGTATGCCACCATGTCCAGCCTTAGCCCTTTTTTATATTTTTAAGCAGTTTCTAAATCGCTGGGCTGGATTCACACTTGATACTTCTATCACAGCCTCTCAAAGTTCTGAGTTCTGGGATTACAGGCTTGTCCCACTGTACCTGGTTTATAGTTTTGAAAAAATGATAGAATCTTGGAAATTTATATTGAAAATATTTTGTTATTTAAAAATAACTTTCCAAAGACCAGAAATATTTATCACATATATTCACCAATTTGTTATATAACTGAAAACATTCAGAGGAGGACTTTAAAAATTATTTGATTTTTAGGGCTAGGGAGCTAGCTAGGCAGCCCAAGCACCTGCCTAGCAAGCACAAAGACCTGGGTTTGATCCCTGGTACCGCATGCCATACCAGCCCCGGAACCCCAGGTGCACAGTCCCATGCTGACCCCATGTGGTGGCGCACACCTGTAATACCAGTGTTGGGGAGGCTGCAACAGGAGATCATCATGAGTCCAAGCTGTGTAGCAAGACCCTGTACCCCATCAATCAATAAATAAAAAAATTTAAAAGCATTTTAAAAAGAAATTTTAGGGCCGGGATATAGATATAGCTCAGTGGCATAAGTGCCTGCCTGGCAAGCACAACATCCAAGTTCCGATCCCTGGTGCTTGGTACCAGCAAAAAAAAAAAAAAAAAGATTTTTAGTCAGATTGTTTTAACCCTTTGGATGTTGTAACTTACCTGAGAGATACAGACTCTTTCACATTGTAAGGATGACACCTGATCCGAAATCTCAGGGTAAATGGTGATTCAAGACAATTTGATTTGCCCAGTAATTTAAGTAAAGATGTATACCTAGACTGGGTGTGGTGGCGCACACACACACACTCAGGGTCTCACTATGCAGCTCTTAGTGATCCTTCTGATTTGTGCCTCCCTAGTGTTGGGATTACAGGTGTGTGTCACCATGCCTGGACTCCATCACTGGCTCAGTGTGCACAGGAGTGGGGCCGTCATGGCCAGCACAGCATGCAATGCAAGGGATCAAACCCTGGCCCCTGCACTTACCTAAGCAAGTGCTTAGTCCACTGAGCTACATTGCTGGCCCTTATACCTAGGCTTTTAAAATTCATTCTCTGCACAATGATTTTCTTTGAACAAATATTTGTTAACCTGCTGTGTATCAGGAAAAGCAATCATTACTAAGTACCAACTGGATTGAACAGACCATTTTATTTCTTAGTTTTGAAGTCTTTTAACAAAATATTTACATAAGAATAAAGGAATAGTGAGAACTATTAGATACAGGAATTTAAATACATCATACTTTTTTTTTTTTGCCGTACCAGAGATTGAATTTGGGACTTTGCACTTGCCAGGCAGGTGCTTATGCCACTGAGGTACATCCCTAACCCTGAAAATTCATTTTAGAATCTAAGAGAATCTAGTTGTTTTTTTATTAAGACAGATACTAAAAGGATGTAGCTTAGTGGCATGATACCTGATATTTTCACTTTACAGATAAACTGACTCCAAGAGGATAATTAAGCTTTTATAGATTTGGCAGCCAGAGTGGTAGACCCAAAATTTCTGTATTTTCTGCCTCCATTTCCAGTGTTCCCACCATGACATTTGATATTTTCTCTGGTAGCTAAGGTTTACTCATAAAACATGAATTCATGATAAGTATATATTTAGTGGGGTTACTTTAGCAATTAAAGATTATAG